CGGCGTCGCCTCCCACTCCCGTCGCTTCTCAGCTATCACTCAATAACAATGAAAGCGGAGAAACAGAACCAACCAACCAAGCAAAGGAGGAAACACACGCTCTGTCCAGCACATGTTACAAGATATCAGGTCAACTCTTTATGCCCTCCACCACGAATCGGCCGCACAATGATGCCGTGGCCCGTTCCAACGGGTAAATCCGTCGGCGAACGATGCCCCCGTGACGTTAGCGCGGCCTCGAGCGTTGGTGTGCTGCTCCTGCGTCCAGTGTTGCTCCTGCGTCCAGTGTTGCTCCTTCCGTTGTATTTTCCACCGCGCAGGTGAGAGTTGTTCAGAAGATAGTCGTAGTGCTGCCGCCAGTAAAAGGCATCGTTGCGTGCGTCCTCAAGCTGGGCTCGGTGTATAGCCCGCTCATTTTCCAGCGCCTTCTGCAGCCCCTCCCTTGCCGCGCCCTCCTGCCGCAAGCCGTGCTTGAGGGTTTCAATGCGCCCGTGGCGGAAGGCTAACTTCTTCTCGGCGAGCTGCAGCTCCAGCATCAGGGCGCCATTCTGGTTCCGCAGCTTCTCCACCTCCTCCACGATAGCCTCCATACGGTGCAGCAGCGTGCCCTGCCGTTCCTCCCCCTCGCGGTTGTGGCAGCCGACCCAGTCATTATCCTCAACGTCGCTCATCGTGTTGGGGACGGCGACGGTGACGTTGTCGCCCCTCCCTGAGTCCGCGCGCTCGTAGCGCGGCAGGTTGGCAACCGGCGAGTTGGCATCCCTGGACCGCGACCACCACCTGCTACTCGTGGGGCTGATGGCCATCGCTGCGCCCTCTGCGATTGCCGTGCTCGCGCCGCGGGTTGTGGGAAGTGATTCACTCCTGTTTGTGATCTGCAGCGAATCTCGACCCACCGACGCCCGGTCAAGGTGGCGGCGCGGCAGCAATGCGTGGTCTTCCGCCTTTCCACAGATGACGCGCAGCTGTTCCAAGTACGAGGTCAACTGTATGGGCACGAGCTTGGCCTCCTCTCGGGCTTCATTAAACAACATGCGGTAGTGTTCCGCGTAACGGCGCTGCGCGTACAGCTCCCGTGCAAGTTGCGCAAACTCCTCCTCCCATGCAGCGCACTCCTGTTGCAGAATCTGCACCAGCGAAGATTGGGCCGCGGACTGCGCGTAGAGAAGATCCGTTGTGCACTGCGCATCGCGCAGCGCGTCGCGCAGGCGCTCCAACTCTGCCCGCATGTCTCCTAGGGAGAGTTGCTCACGGACGGCTTGCTGCAGCAAGGCATCCACGCTACCAGAGTCCACCGAGTCCTCATTGCGTTGGGGGTGACTGCCTACCCGCGGCTCTGAACATGTACGAGCCGTGGATACTTCTCGTGAGGAGCTGCCACAGTTCCGTTCACGAAGCAAACGCCGCAGCCTTTGTATCTCCAGCTTCGCAAGTGCTAACATGCCCTTCAGTTCCTCCATCGTAAACTGTCGATTGACGACCGCCCGATTGCACACGTTCTGCGCCCGTGCCCCAAAGCGCAGGGTGGAGAGGGTGTCATGCGCCGTCAGTTGTGAGGGGCTGCAGCACAAAATAAGCGCTGTGCGGGAGTTCCCGCCTAAGGAGTCCTTTAGGATGCGTGTGAGTTTGCTGTCGCGGTACGGCACATGCGAGTGCTTCTCCGCCAGGCAGATGATGACGTGCCCGAGGGTGGCGAGGGAGCGATTGATCAGCTTTGCCTCCTCCAGCCGGAGGCCGTCGGCCAGCGTCCTCGAAACCTTCTCGCAGCCCGCGAGGTCCACGAGAAAGAGTTTCCCGACGGTTGCCTCGTGCTTGGCGGAGTCCACGCTCTTCACCGTGATACTCACAACACAGTGACTGCGGCTACTGGCGTCATTAACGGCCGTCGCCGTGGTGACGCGCCGACGCAACCCACTACAAACGAGCTGCAGCACCTCCTCCGTGCTCGTCACGTAGGGCATTTCGCAGTTCTCCACATAAAACCCAGTCGGGTCCTCGCGCACGTGCAGACTACTCCCGGTGGGACTAAGCAAATCCCGCACACGTTCCATGTAGATCTCCAGAAACTGCAGACGAATCTCAAACTCCACCGTCGCCTCTGCACTGTGAATGGCGTGGAACAGTTGCCGCACCGCACGCGGCACGATGCCGGCGCCGTCGTTGTGCATGCTGAGCACCATCGACCCGGATCCCTCACTTGTGGGGGAATGCACGCCGAACATGGTGTGCGTCTTGCCGCTCCCGGTCTGCCCGTAAACTAGCAGGGTGCCGTTGTACCCGTGCATGACGTCGTCGACGATGGGGCGAGCGACATCGTCGTACAAGTGCTTCTGCGTCGTGTCAGGCTGGTAGACGCGAGAGAAGGTATACGCGTCTGAAACAATCACACTCCCATTCAGAGAATGGGGGTCATCTGCCGCCAGGCCAGAAGAAGCCGCAAGCTGCTGTTGGGCCGTGGACGGAGGCTTTACTGTTTTACAGACCACGTGCCTCTCCCCCTCGAAGGCCACGCAGAAAGCGGCAAACCGCTCCCCATCGTTCACTGGACGAAACCGGCAATAAACACGCACCTTCTCCACATACATCCAGGCGCCTCCTCCCTTTTCACGACTTTCACTACACTACGCCCTGTGGCCTCTCTCTCTCTTACACACACACACACACACACGAGGGGCAGACCGTAGCACAGAGCCACGCTCCTGCCTTTTAACTATTCCCTCCTTTGCTTCTTCCTTTTGTGTGGGAGCTCCTCCTCCGTTTCTACGTACCCGCCACTGAAGCAGCTACGCGCAAGCCCACAGACACACACCCCAGTGACGATGGAGCGTGCACGGTGCCGTGCAAAAAAATAAAAATAAAAATAAATTTAAAATAAAAAAAAGACAACAACAAAGAAAAAAAAAGAAATAGGCACAAAAAGAGAAGCTGAGAAAGGGGCTCCGGCATCAGCATCGAAGGCTCTGGCGGGGAATGCACTCCGCAGCACAGTTGCCAGGCCGCCGCGACCATCGCTGCCTCCGTGCGGTTGCGGTTGCGGTAGCTGGTACCGGCGGTCCTTTTATGCCCAAGGAGCGACCTTCCTCCCCTCCTGCCCTTCCTCGCAGGGCAAACCAAGCAACGGCAACCACAACAGCAAAATGAAGGCCTTGCCTGCAGCAACAACAGCATCATTATTGCTGTCAGCAGTGAGGGCAGGCCCCCTCTTAGCACTCTCTGGTGACCGTCGCTGTCACTGGGTGATCCGCCCGCTACCCAGTGGGGCACAACCCCCCACGCGACACTGAACCTCTACTCTAGCCTCAACACATCTTTTTTTTCTTTTTTTGTTCCCTCTCTCCCCCTCGCCCTCTCTGTGTGTGGGTCGCAGCCACTTTTACGCCTGCCGACCCAATGAAGCTGCTTAACCGCATCTAGCCACAGAGTCCACGCAGGCCCCGGCACTCTCCGCCCACGCCCGCCCGCACACATGTTTCTCCCTCGCTCATGAAGAAAACCAAAAACAGCAACTCCACATATTCAGCTAATAGTTATAAAAATGGCCCAATAAATAAATACAAGGCAAAACAATAACTTGAAGCCGCCAGCGTCCCTAAGACACGGATGCCTTTAAGTTGAGTCTTGGAATCAAGGGTGGCTTGACAGCTTCTACTGGAGTTTTTGCAGGCAACAAGAGGTGGTGTGCTGTGCAGAGTGTTTTGCTTCCTTAGTGTGGGTGTCGAAAACTGTAGAGCCTCTTCTTGATGCTCCAGCCGGTGGTGCCGTTGCCATTTGCCCCACTTTGCCGTTCCTGACGTTTGCGTACGAGAGAATTTGAGCTCCCTGCACGACCCTCGCCCGGGGATGGAAGCCGCGTGGGGTCTACGGGGGGATGCACACTGCAAGCCATCGTCAAGACCACCTCATCGTTCGACGACACCTCGTCCTGCTGCGAGCCAACAACGGTGATGGGGCTGGCGTCCCCCGCGGCGCCCTCGTGGATTTCTTTTTGCCCGCGCACTGTGTTCTCTCGCCGCTTCGGTGAACTCAGCTGCCGTCCCCCGCCGACGTGCGTAGTTGCCGCGGATACGGATGCCCTACTTGTCTCGTTCAGTGAGAATGCGTCCAGCGCCGTACGCGACAGTTCAGTGGGGGTGCCTATTTCCTCGGCCATACGCTTTGCGGTCCGCGTGCGCTCCTCCTTGTCGGCGAGGAGGCCGCCCGCATTGTTGGCCGTCTGCGTCTCACTCGATACCAAAGCGAGCGCATTCACGGAGGCGCGGCGTCGTACGCGTTGTACCAACGACCCCCCTTTGACATGAGACGTGCTGGCGTCAGACGGCCCTGTTTCCGGCGCCACAGCCACCGGCCGTCCCTCCGCCGGCGACAGAGCGGACCCGGGCGCACGACGGCTCTCGGCGCCTCCACCGGCACGCTTCTGCGGGGCCGCGGAGCCCGCTTCGTGCGGGGTTGCGACTTCGGGGTGCGGGGAAGCGCCGGAAGCGGCGGCTTGAGACAACGCACACCTCTCCAATCGTTCAATAGTCATTCGCTGCGACTCTACTTTCATATGCAGCTGCTGGCACTCCCTCTCCGTGATGCGCTGCTCGGTGCGTAGCTCATGCACAAGGCCGGCCAGTGACATTAGATGGGAGTGGATGGTGTGGTTTGACAGCAGCTCCCGCTGCGTGTGCTGCCCCTTCAGGCAGCTGCCCAGAAGTCGAAAGGGACACACCACGACCGACTCGTCCTCGTAGCCGCCGATGTCGCCGTCGTCGTCCTCGTCGTCCTCGTCATCCTCGTCAGCGGCGGCAAGCGCGGCGAAGGCACCCAACTCCTCTTCCGTGAGCGACTCCCGCTTGCGTCCCTGTTGGGGCCGGCCGGGGCGTACTCTCACCCGAGGAGGAAGCGAGGCCGGGGATAGTGAGGGCGGCGACGCCAAGTTGGAGGGCAGCAGCTTCCCCTTGAAGCCCTTCCTGCGAGCCGCCCCGGCCGGGCGCCGCGCGTGCATGGCCCCCTGTGCGACACTGCTGCACCCATCTCCCCTTGCGTCCTCGCTCAGTGCATCTTCGTCACGGTCGGAGGCGCTAAGCGAAACCACCGTTATCGCACACGAGGCCAGCGGAGTCACACTTCGGGGACTACGCTTGCACGCATTTTTTGTCGCGGGCTGTGCCTCTGTGCTTTGGTGGGGCGGCATCAACTGCGCCCCGCCCCAATCGTGGCTCTGGCGCCGCTGCCCTTGAGAAGGGGTGCTGCACTTGGCTTCATGCGTGTTCGCATCTAGTTCCGCCAGCGCCCGGAGGGCGCCGCCCACGGCCTGCCGCCTCACCGTTCTTCGCCGCGGAACGTGTTGGTGGGCTTGTTGCTCTCTAGCCTCTTTTTGCATGCTGGCGGCGGTGTCTCGGTCGCTTGGCTGCGCGACCCCACCACCCGCCCGTGCGCCTCGTCTCGCTTCTCTAGGAACCTGCGCGGTGCGGCCGGCTGCGGGGGCGACGTGAACGTCTCTTCCCCACCGAACCCCGCGCGCAAAGAGGCTACAACCACGCACGACGAGTGATACAATGGGGAGGGCGGGAACGCGTGTGCAGAGCATGCCGCTCGTGGGAGGTCACGCACGCTGTCAACGGCACATCCACACACACACAAACACACGCACATGCACAGAAGCAGAGAGGCAGAGGGTAAGAAAGAAGGGGGACAGAAAAAGACGGGAAACCCGAGTTTGGTGCCTTGGTCATTCCGACAACTCCGCGTCCAGCTGCAGCAACAGCTCCCACTCCTGCGGGGTGTAGCCAGCGGCGCACAGCTTACGCGCGGCAAATCGTCGCTCCTCTGGAGAGAAGAGCGACACCGGGTCTGCGCAGCACTCCGCTTCCAGCAAGGCGGTGCCCAATTCTAACATCAATTCCTCCTCTTCCTTATCCACGTTGTCCACCTCATCGCCGACATGCCCACCGCCTGCCGTGGGGATGCCGCACCCGCTGCAAACCTCGCCCCACCCATGCGTCTTCCCACCACCACCACCAGCACCAGCTGCAGCCACGTTTGCGGCGTGGGCGACGGCCAGAGGCCCCGACGACGCGAGTGGTCGCTCTCCCGTGCCTGTTTCCTGCCTCGGGCACTGCCGCGCTGAAAGGAACGCATCCCCGCCCACCGAGGAAATCACAATCTCGTCCACGGTCACACACACGAGGAAGATCCTGCGGCCGTTGCGTGTTTCTACGGTACCACAGTTGCAGCCGCAGCAGCACACAAACCTGCTTCGCGGCTGCAAGGAAGCAGAAGAGATGGCGGTAGTAGGCGTCGTTGTTGCCGCACGGCCGGGAGCTGCGCAGCATGGGTGCATGGGCCTCCCCATGACTCCATCCTGCAAGATTGTACAGGATGAGGCATCCGCCTTCAGGTACGACTCAATGCAGGTCTTGCTGTTGCCGTCCACCAAGTAGCAGGTGCCGTCCGTGGAGAGAAGCACGGCGCGGAACTCGTCGTTTCCAACGCAGAAGTGACGAACACACTGCAGAAACCACTGTGGACTTAGATTACCTGACGCTATGCACAGGATCGAGGCGGCCGCCCATTTTCTGGAGGCAGCATGAGTGACGGCTTCCGTGGGGGTTGCACTTGACACCGTCTGCACCGCCTGCGTCGGAGTGTCGTCGTCCGCGGGGGACATTTCAAGGATGAACCAACGCCCATCCTCACTGGCAATGGCGAACTGCAGCTTGCTTCTCCCCACCGCCACATCCACCGCAAAGGAAAGCTGCAGATCATGTTCCAAGCCATCCCACACGGTCTCACTATCTTCTCTCAACTGCGACGCAGCAGCGGCAACGGCGGGGGTGCTGCGCCCACGCAACACACGCTGCTTTCTCGGCGACGACCCCGCTTCCTCTCGTGCCGCCGTAGCGGCAATCTCCGGCAACGAGACCGCGCCTCGCCCTGGCGACGAGCTACGCCCCCCGCCCTGCGCGTGGCACTCCTCCTCCGACACCGTCCGTGGACACGGCTGCCGTTGTTGCAGCTCTGAAATGCATCTCATCGAGCACTGCCAAAGGGGTTGCAGGAGCGTCGTTCGCGCGTTAGCCGCGTCATCCGGAAATAGCGACACCGTTCTATGAGCGGGGGAGTGCGAGGCCGTGCAGGCGCCATCGACGACGGTCTTTCCTGGGGAATCTCTGACGGTCTTCTCCTGCATCGCAACACACCGCGAGTGGCCCGAGACGCCCCACTGCCTCACGTTGCTAGTGGAGGCGTTGAGGAGAACAAGCTGTTCCTGACAAGTGAACAACAGCAATGTGGCCCCCGCCTGCGTCTGCTGGGAGGAAGCGCCACACATTCCACCACCGACAGGAGCCGAATCGTCAGAAAATACCTGCGTTTCCGCTGCTGCATTTTTTGAGGATGCTGGTGGGGTGCTGAGAACGCGCAAATTGCCTTCGGTGGCAAATGGCACGGTGAAGCACCGCATGGAGGTAACAGGTGCCTGCAGAAAGAGTGATCCGAGGCAGTCGCCCCCCGGTGCGAGGGAGTAGACATATATGCAATTCTGGGAGCCGAGAAACACCGTCGTCGCGCCCTCTTCGGCCGTGATATCGCCGCAAATGCAGTTTGGTGCCACACAGAAAACATGTGAAGACGTGAACGAGGGATTACTGGACATGATTCCCTCGTTTTGGCTGCTCGCGCAGTTGCCCAGGCGGCTGTTGCTCCCCGCGCGGGGCGTGGGAGCCGCATCCTGCTGCCGCTTGGTGTGGCCAGGGGCGCAGAAGGCCGCCGGCGCAGGCCTGCCGCCGCCCACAAGGAACCCCTCGGTGACCTCGCACTGCCCCTCCAGCGTCAGCACCACCAGTCGGCGATGGGCCGCGCTGTACAGCACGATGCAGATGGTTGCGGCAAGTGTGCGGGAGTAGATCGGCACGCGGTGGTCCGGCTTCACCACGATGAGCTGCCCCCCGGTGGTGCCAAAAATGATCTCCGCCACCCCGTCCCCGTCCACGTCGCAGGCGACGAGGGCGTTGGGCATGACAGACCCCTCCTGCGCGTGCTTGCGGAACTCCCACGAGTCCACCTGAATCGCCGGTAGGCGCCGCACCCGACCAAATCCCCTGGAGCCGCAGTTGCTGCTGACATTTGTCTCGTCTAGCAGGGAGTAGAGGCCCACGGACATGCCTCCGCGCCTCACCGTCCCTCCACTGCTGCGTGCCCTCGGCGCGGGCAGGAGGCCAAAGGCAAGAAGCAGCCAAGAATATATATGTATATAAAAGAAAGAAAGAAGAGGAGAAAAGCGAAGCCAGAATAAAGACGCCCTACTGTTTTCCCTCCCTTCGTGTTTTTTTTTCCTTTTATTTCCTGCTCTTCGTCTCGTTTCGTCTCGCGGGGTCTACGACATTTTCACTCCTACCATCGGGCGTGACACGAAGCCGCAGAGAAACACAAACAGGCAAACACACAGACACACACACTCTGTGAGAAACAACAACAACAACAACAACAAGAGAGAAGCAGCCAGCCGCTAACGCGCGCGAAACGTTTTTACGCGCGGGTCCCTTGCACCGACGCCCTCAAAGCCGTGGAAGCGTGGCACAACGTCGCTCTCACGGAAGACCTCCTCAAAATCAAGGCCTGCCTCGTTCTTCACCAGCATCTCGTGCAGGCGGTTAAACTCCTGCTGCACGTGTCGCACGCGTGTTGCCTGCACGCGGCGGCCGCAGTTCACGTAATTCACAAAGTCCTCCACTACATATGGCGAGGTGCTGGGGCGCTGCGTCGTCTCATTTTGCATCGCCGCGGAGAAGTCATTTTCGTCAAAGGCGCCATCCTCCTTGTGCTCGGCAAGGTGCCTCTCCCACTCCTGCCGCTTCCTCGCCCCCAGGCGCTCCAGGTACTGCTTGGCCACCTTCTCATACACGCTGCGGTGCCGGCGCGGGTGAATTAAACTCACCGTGCCGGCGCGGAAGTCGTACTTCGAGTAGTACTCGGCAAAGCGCTGCAGGCAGAAAAAAACCGCCTCGCCCAGCTTCTCATCATCCCCGTGCAGCGAGTCGTAGATGGACGGCAGCCGAAAGCCCTCCAACTGGAGCTGGACGTCGGGGAGGGTCAACTCCCCAAAGTCGCCGGTCGGCTTTGCGAAGACGGGCAGCAGACCAAGCTCCTGCAGCACCATGAGCGCCATGGTCGTCACGGTGAAGCTGTTGAAGGTGGATCGCTCCGGCGCAATCACCTCCCGTGCCTTGCCCCACTCCTTCACGAGGTGAACGTAGGCGCGGTAGAAGTCCGGGAACACCTCGCGTATCGCGGCAAGAATTTTGGAGTTCTCCACCCCGCCCACGTTCCCGATGCTGACGTCGCAGTGAAGCCCCGAGAGGCTGTCGACGAACTGCACCACGGGAATGCGCGCCCGGATGTAGCGGACGTCCTCCATCCCCATTTCCGCAGCCTCCTTGGAGAAGCGCATCAGGCGCTTGTTATTTTGTTCATCCACGCGCTCCATCCCCTGCAGCCAGGGCGAGAAGTTGCGGTACGTTAGGGAGAGATCGACGTCGGATGTCGGCTTGCAGAAACCGCTGACGTGCGAGCCAAAGAGCTCCACGTGCGCCTTGTTGACGGAGCGCAAGCCGATATCCAACACCCGCTCCTGCAAGTCCCTCAGGATCGTCTCGTGATCCGCCGGCGGCTGGGAGGCGCGGTAGTGCGCCATCATGTCCTTGATGAACTTTCGCCGCGCCGCATTCATCCTCTCCGCCGTCCGCGCCGTGCCGCTTGTGGTGCTGTGAAGTAGCTTTGCGGAACGGGGGGAAGGGGGGGGGGCACGATAAAACAACAGAGCCGACAAACAAATAAGACAGAGAGTGGAAAAAAAGAAGGAAAAACAACGAGCCCATAAGAAAAAGAAACAAACAAACAAACAACATGAGCGAGATAAAAGAATTTAAGGCAAATGTTAGACACTTCAAGCGATGGCAACTATAAATCGTACGACTTGTGTGTGTGTTTTTATATTAAACTATTTTTCTTTTCGTTTTTTGTTGGGTTTTGGCCGCCAAACACCCAACCACCCACCCACACCCCCCCCTCTCCCTCCCCCAAACATCCCCCGCCCCCCACTCTCATCCATCCGCCTCCGTGTCTTGCGTCTCCCTCCTACTCCTGCGCCGTGAGGTGCGCCCTCGCCCGTGCCTGGATGCGCGTGTGCGTGCATGTGCGCGTCTCGTGGTCCGCAATGCATCGTACGAGGCGGGCGTACACGCGGATGCGCATATATATATATATCCATACATGTAGTTGGTCCACAGGAAAGGAAAAAAAAAAACGGCAAATCAAAAGCAACCGGCGAGTCCCTTTTTTTTCTTCCTGACCAAATATGCCTGGGACTATCCTTTTTCAAAACCCTTCGATAAATGGCTTTTTTTCTTCTTCTTCTCCAAAGTGCATTTTGACATCGTCTTTTGCGAGGGCGAAGAGGGCAATAATCGGTCCACACCCCCTTTCGTTTGGGCCTGCCGTGCACGCTCCTCGCCCCTCCACGCATAAATGCGCCCAGACGTGGATATATATATAAATATATAAATAAATATATATAAACGAAGCGGGTGGGGATGTGAGGAGAAAGCGCCGTTAAATTTACGCAACGCCACGTGAAGGACCTCGGCCATTCGCGGAGCTCACGGCTGTTGCGGCATCATTGACGGGGGCGCACCACATCTGCGTTCCGCCGTCCACAATGTTCTCCGGCAGCGGGACGTTAACCGTCACGCCGGCCCCGTTCGGACGCATCATGCGATGCCGCACGAAGCGCAGCAAGAGGAACTTGACTATCAAAGGCACAGCAAAGAAGTTCTGGATGCGGTAGCGGGTGAAGAGGGTTGACATTTTGAGCGAGAAAGCCGGCTCCGACTCCAGCCAGAGCGTGCACTGAAGATACGGCTTCCGCCGACTATCCATGGTGGCCCTTTCATACTGCAGTTTTGCACAGACGCGAACGTGGGCCTTGATGAACTTTACTTCGTTCACCCTAATAGAAACCGGAAGAAGTCTGCCACGCGCCAAGCAAATATCCGCCTGCAACGAGACGTCGGCGCCGCCGGCGTATTCTACTTCCGCCTCGAGCTCCACCACAGACGCCGGAAACCCGGCGATGCTCCCATTCAGCGTCTCCTCGTAGGAGTCAGCACCCCATATTTCCCCCTTCTCCTCAGCTCCTGAAGCGTGCGTCCCCAGCAGCGAGGGACGGCGCTTCCCTTTTTGCGGCGCCTGACTACTGACGCCTCCGGCGGCAGCACCTGCGGTGTTCGCAGCCCCGGTGGCGCCAGCCTTCCCGGAAATTGCGGCGGCCAGAGGAGGGTTGCTTGCGGCCGCAGAGGCAACCCCGGCGGCGGCAGCGGCAGCGGCGGGGATGCTCGTGTTGTATTCCATCTCAGTGAGGTTTGTCACGCGAATGGCACGCACGCTGGGCGGCCGGTGGCCGATGGAGTGGACCCTGCACGCCGCATTTGCCGCGATGCCGCGGTCCTCTAGCATGGCCTCCAGCCGCTCCTCAAGGGTCTCCAGCAGCCGCCGCGGCGCCCCCTTAACGCCACTGCCGTCCCCGCTGTAGGCGCCACTCGCCTCACCCCGAAACAGGGCGTTTGCCGCGGCCGGCTGCCGACCCTGCTGCTCCGTCGCACCCGCCGCCTTTCCCTCCTCCCGCAGCGCCGCGTAAAAGAGGTCGAGGACGGCGTTGGCGAGGCGCTCCATCCAGACGCAGGTTTCGCCGTGGTGGCGAGAGACGCGTGTGCGGCGGGAGGGCAGGTGCCGGAGCCGCGTCTTCTTCACACGCAGCAGGGCGAGGAAGAACAGGACGAACCCGGTGATCCGCACAATGGCCAGCAGAAACGACATCTTCTATCCACCACACTCCCCTTCGCTTCCCTCCCCCAAAGAGCACTGCGGATAGAAGGAAGACCAAAACAATAACAACAACAACAGTAATACAAGAGGGAAGATAAAATAAACAGCCACAAAACAGCGGCAACAACAACGGGCGAGGGAACCAGGCAACGGCGGCAAAGTCGCCCCGGCGAGGGGGCGAGACAGCCTGCTCGAGAGAGTCAAGGCGAACCAAACACACTTGCCCCACGCCTGCCCCAAGGAAAATACTCAGATGCGAAGAAAGGCTGGCAATCAATACCCGCACGCGAAAGAGAAGGAAACCGGCGTTGCGGTGGCTGACGATGTCGGGAGTGCAGGAAATGCAGGCAGGCTCCTCCCTCCCAAGCAAGAAAAGGAAAATAATAATAATAAACAAAACAACAACAACAACAACACCACAAAAAGAAACCACTTCGCTTGCACCATTCCCTCCCCACAGCAGCGTCTGAAGCTGTTGGCTTGTTTGGAGTCTTCAGTCCATTTCTCACCCGGGGGAGAGATCTGTGAGTTCGCTCACTTCGACGGAAACATCTTTTTTTTTTACCTTCATCCCCACCGTCGTCGCCGGTGCAGAGGCCAGCAGCCTCCATGGCCCCCGCCAGGCGAACTAACCGCAGCTGCAGCATCTCTCAGCTCGCCCTGCCCCTTCTCAGATATCGATGTTGCGTGTTCCTCAACTCCGCATGGGCCGGACGCTCCTTCTCCCCCGTCCTCTGTGCAGGTCGACGTCGAGGTCACCTCTCGCTCGGCGGGCTTCGACGAGCCACTTAGTGGCCATCGTGCCAGACACCCAAGCTGGGATTCAACGCCCCTGTCTGTGTGAGTCTCCTTCAACCGTGTCCGTGCGGCCGGTCATTCTCGTAGATCCCGTTGAAGTGGGAGCGTTTGTTGTTGTTGGTGGTGGGTGGGTGGGTGGGGGAGGAAAAGGCTCAAGGCAGAATATGAACATAGCTGTAGGAAAAGCAAAAAAAAAACGTAGCCCTCCGCACGGTGCAAGCAACCCAAGGATATGTAGAGAAATCACTCTTGTTGCTGTTATTGTTTTCGTTGTGCGTATGCACGCCTCTCCTTGACAGTCACCGCCACCCCACTTCTTTCATTCGCTGCATCTTCCTCTTCCTCTGCCACACCCGCGTTTCTTTCTTCTTCTCTTTTGCTTTTTCGTAACCCTGCCGGGGCGCTATCGCTACATGGTACCCGAAAGTGAGGGCGGCCCGCCACTATCACCGCAGTGATGGCTGTCGCCGCCGTCGCGCAAGTAGGATATAGGCGGGGGCAGCATGTCCGCATCCGGCGCTCCCTCTCGCGTGAGGGGAAGTAAGGGCGCAGACTCCCTCCGCGGAGTCGTGGCCTGGCAGCTGTGGGAAAGAGCTGTGCCATTGTTCTGCTGAGAGAGCCGTAGTTCGAGGCTGTCAAAGTACTTTGCGAAGCGGAGGCGCACCAGCCAAATCAACAGGCAAAGCCCCAGACACACTAAAACCATGGCCACCTCGGCGTAGCGCCTCCAGACGGCATCTAGCGAGAAAAGGCAGGCCCAGAGGCGCGCCACCAGAGCCTTGGACTCACCGGCGCTGTCGGGGCGCATCTCCTGTACACCGCCGCCGGCCGCGGTGGTGGTGCTCCTAAACAGGGCGCGTTGAAACGCCATCACGAGGTCACCCGGCCCGCCCCCACGCAGGAGTTCCAGAAATAGAAGCTCCATGGGCTTGGCAAGCACGCTTAGCAGCGCGTTGGCGCCCATCGTCAACAGTGTCCCATTGATGGCGACTAACTCTAGGCTTAGCCCGGCGTCCTCGACGGCACTGATTGCTGCCTCCATCTTATCCGCCAGCACCAGGGAGGTGACGTTGTCGATGGCGGCACGGAGGGCCTCATCCATGGGAGCCCCGAACTCAACGATGTGAGTGTACAGGCCCGAGAAGGGCCACGCCGGGGCGCCAGTGTCGCTTGATGTCGACAGGCCTCCCTTCGACGGCTCCGGCTGCCTCCCATCGCCCTCGGTGGGAAAGTAATCATCCGGCACAATTCTAACCATGTCGCCTTTTTTTTATGTCCTTGCGGAAACTTACGCCGCCTCCGTCTGCAGAATGTTTTGTTCCCTCCTTTTATGTTGGTTGCCAACTCGCTCTTCCGAATTGGCGCTACAGGAGGAAAAAAAAAAGAAGAAAAGGTAAACGTGAAATTGCGCTTCATTTCCTTCACCAGGCGCCCAAGTAGGCGGGATAAGGTGGCGGAGAGGAGGCAAGGGCGGGTACGCACGTGTGTGTGTGTGTGTGTGACGCCCCGGCACAGACCCCCCAATCCACCCACCCACCCACTTGGGCAGCCAACAAGCCGCACACTGCAACTGAGCACAATGGCAGGGAAGGAATCACACGACTTCATCCCGCACTTGCACTGACACAAGGAGAGAGATGTGGAAAGGAACGCGCTCCTACACACAGGAAAGGGGGAAAAGAAAAAAGAAAAGAAAAACATCATATCAGAGAGGGAAGGCTGAAAATGATAATAATTCGGAAACAAAAAACAACAACAACAAAAAAAGTAACACATATGAAACTGTTTACGATATGCAACACGACACCCACTGCCTACATGTCTTCCATATATGCGGGAAGAGAAAGTGAGTGTGAAAAAAGGGCAGGCAACAGTTACGGATGAGCCCTTTTTAACCACCGTGTTTGTGATTCTTTGCATTTTGAACCAAATTCTCCAAGTTACTGCGCACGTCCTGTACAACCGCGGCCATGGACGCATTTTCGCCCCGCAGTGTGTGGCAAAGCGAGATGACGGAGCTCATTTCTTGGTTTCTCAAACTCAGCGAGTGTCGAAGCAGCGTCACCTCCCTTCGCAGGGGCGCAATGATCTCGCTGTGGCAGAGCTCAACCTCCACACGTCGGTCCGCCAGGGCGCTTATCAGTTCCTCACGCTGCTCCGTGACCTCTTGGAGTCGTTGCCGCAGTGCCTCCTCGCGCGCCTTTGATTGCTCCAGCTGCTGCTGCAGCAGCGCCGCCTCCTGCTCCCTGCGTTGCAGGCCAACGTCCACCGCCTGCACCGGTTTTATGCTGGCCACATAGGCATCCAGGTCTGTGAACACCTTGTCATCATCGTACGGGTGTTGCTTGCGGTGGCGCTCGTCGCTGTCGCTGTCACTGCCATGGCCCCGGCAGGAATGGCCTCTTTGCCCCCCCGAGTCATTTCCACTCGAAGCACCCAATTCCTTTTTCGTGAGTGGCGGGCTCTTCCCCGTGCCGGACGGGGAGTGCTGCGCGGCAGCCTCCTGCTCACGACGCGACACACTGCAGAGGAGAACTTTTCCTCGTTTGGGTCCTGCCCAAGACGGCGATGGTCGCCGCCGCCGCCGCGCCGCTCTTCGACGGCGATCACGCCGGGACTGCGAGAGCTCCCCTTCCTCGCTTCTCCCACGCAGCTTTGAGGAGGCCCTCTCTTGTTCCTCGTGTCTGGAGAGAATAAATTTATGTGGTGGCTGCGAGAGGAGCTGAAGCTCATCACCATACTTTGTGCTGCAGGCAAGGATGACGGCGTCAAAGGGCTGCGCCTCTGCCTCGGCGTCAGCATCCCCTTCGCATGGTACTCTCACGATCGTCAAATCAGCGGCTGCGGTGTACGTCATTGTACTGCGCTGAAGCGAGGAGGTGCATGGCATGTTGTGAACCACGCAGGTCGGGCTTCGAGCGTCCCGGCTCACAAAGATGGTGTCCAGCCTCCACGGCGGCATCTTCTTCTCCAGGGAGGAAGGCGCGGAGGGCACGTTGCCACCAGCAATTCCACCGGTGTTATTGTGATTACTGCTGCCGCCGCCAACTGCGTGCGAGATGCCCCTTAAACTCACGGGTTCATACCCAAAAAACATGGGGGGTGGAGACTCCTCCGGGGTGGCAGCCGCTGCCGCTTGGGCGCCGCCGCCATTAGCCGTGTTTGCGCCGGCAAACTCCTCCAGCTGAGGCGCCTTCACATACACCTGAAGGGCCCGATCACCCACGCCACCGCCGCCGTGTCGCACGCCCGGGCATCTCTCATGTTCACGCTTCAGAGTTCCCGGCCACACGGGGCACGTTAGAGTGCAGGAAAAACTTGCCTCTGCTTTCCTGCGCCGCCGCTGTGCGGCGGCGGTGATGGAGGCTGAGCTGCGGACGCCGACGGTGAGTGTCTCGGCCCACGCCTCCGACTCCACCGCCTTCCGATGCAAGGCCGCGGGGAGAGGGGGGTTGGGGTGAACCAGGTGCGAGAACGCCAGTAAGCGTGTTCCTTCAAGACGCAGCGTGGATACGGGCACAAGAGCAGCAGCGGCAACGGAGTCATCGCCCCGGGCAGCAACGGCGGACAGAAAAAGAATCACTTGATGGGTTCGACCCAAGCCGGCGGACACCGCCGTCTGAAACCCCGGTGATTCCTCGCAGCATTTGTACACGTTGTGCCGCGCCATCACCGTTGCAACGGAAACCCCACCGCACGCACATGGAGGCCCATGCTCCTCCTCCACCCCCCCGTTGCCTTTTCGCGGGCTCGCTTCCAGCAGCAGCACGACGGACAGCAGTGCCGCCGCGAGGGTCAGTTTGGTGCCTGTTGCGGCCGTGCAATACCCGGACCCCGGTTTCGCGGGGGCGGCGCGGCCCACCTCCCCGCGCTGCAGGGCGAGGTTGAAGGAGACGAGGTGCAGGAGGTGGTTAAGGGCGCGGGAAACCACCAGCGTCGATGTGGGGTTTCGCCCACCGGCAGAAGAGTCGTCTGGACGGCGATGGCCGGAAGCCGTCGTCGTCGTCGTCGTCGTCGTTTCATGCGTCGCAGCAGGCGCATGCGGCAGGGAGGAAGAAGAGTGCTCGTCCGCAAAGAACACGCCCAGCAGGACGGCACGGACGTCAACGTGTGCGGGGGCAGGCAGAAACAGCAAGCGTGTCAGTAGGAAATGCATCGCATTCGCCGCGTAGCACGCGAAGCGGCGAAACACCAGGAAACCTGAGAGTTGCTGTAGCGTGAACACAAGCTGCTTCTCCAGCGAAGAGAGTTGGCGGCGGGGACTCCCTTCACAGACCCGTGGGAAGGCACGGTGCCAGCGTGCATCCAGCTCCTCCTCCTCTGCTGGGGTGAGGCGACACAAGACGCCCGAGAGGTCCGGCTCTGCCGCAGCGGTGCTCCGCAAAAACAGCAGCGCCATCATTTTAAGTGTCAGCTGCACGCCAAACGTGCGTGCGACCCGCCGGGCCCCTGAAACGTCCGTTGCCTCCTCCCCCGCGGCGGGCCCCTCCACGTGGGAGGCGTGCTGCTCACACGGAGCGCCCAACCTCGGCAAGACGGAAAAAGCCACGTGGCGCAGCAGGTACTGCCACAACCCCTGCTCCGTGAGCGCCGCCAGAAGAGACCGCGACGACAGTGAATCCGCGTCACAGCACAGGCAGCAACCCAGCTCCTGCCCTGCAGCCTCCGCCTCCAGCTCCCAGGCCTCCGCCTCCGCCTCCGACTCCTGCTGCCAGTGGCGTAGACTACGACAGCCGAGCAGAATAGAAATCGCGTTGGAAACGGCGACGAGGGCACGCACCGCCTGCGCTTCCCCTGCAGCTTCAACCCCCTCGCCGCTCTCCTCCTCACCAGGTGCCCCGCCGGCTCCCCATGCCCACCCCACAACACGCCTCAAAAGATCACATGCCGTCGCAGACAACTGCAAGAGGTCAATTTTGCAAATGAACGAGGCGTTGCCCATAGTTTCCTCGTTGCTTCTTCGCCTTGCCGCAGCGGCATCCAGTCGCACACGGCGCCCAACGCTCTCGACGTGGAACACCAAATAAACGATAGTGTAGAGTGCTTCCACCCGCTCCTCCAACGTAAAGGTCGCTGCTTTGGTCTCAGAGCCCACCGCGGCGGGTGCGCAGACGCAGCTCAGTGTCTCCATGAGGCCGCCGTCAACGGCTGCAGCCAGCGAAGGCCGTCGTCGCAGCGGCGCCTCCGCGTCGTCATCCACGGAGGCCGTAAAGGACGGCGACGGGATGCACGCAGCAACGCCGGCGTCCTCCGCGCCCTGCACCCTCGGCGATGACTTTTCCCGTCGCGAGTCCCGCGGACGCTCGGGCGCCACAGACGCCGGGCGAAGCGCACCGTCCGGGGTGGGGTAGAGGACCGGCTTCAACGGCTTCGGCGGTGTCGCCGCCGCCGGCAGCGCGGCCCCCAGCGGCTGCCGCACAGACGCCTCGCTCGCCTCGGCGCGAAGGCGCCGCAGCAACGTGGCCAGCGGCGGTGTCGGTTCCTCCGCAGGCCGCTGCTCCTCGTCGGGACCGGCCCCGAGACGCTGCTGGCACGCCTCCCGTATGCGCCGGGAGAGTTGCAGCATTTGTGTCCCTCCTGCGACTCCCCCGGCGGGCAGCGAGGCGGCAGTCAAGCAGGGCAGAGGCAAAGCAAAGTAGCAGGCGCACTCCCGCCCAGGCAGAGACAGACAGATCGATGTGTACATACGCACGCATACAGAGAGAGAAAGAGGGAGAGGGGAGAGAGAGAGGAGGGAAGGCGGACAAAATGCGAACGATGACTCTAACAACAATGTACGCAAACGACCCCACATCATCAGTCATCAAAAAGAGTTAATCTACACACCACAAAACAACGACGACAACAACAACAACAGGGGGGGGGGGAGGGCGAAGCGAGACGAAAGAAAAGGACAAAAAACAACGAACAAACAAACAATGATTGACAGGAAGCCTTCGGAACTACTCAACCCCCTCAGTGGAAGGTGTATAGTGCTACTAACACACAGAGACACACACACTCCTTCCTCGGCAATAACCCCACACAGTGTTCAGCGCATAGCCCGACACCAACTCACCTGACCGCCCTTTCTTCCTTCAAACCGTATTTTTAGGAGAGGCAGTTAATTACGGAATCGCTTTTCCCACAGACAGCCAGCCTGAAACATCGTTCACTCTGCTGCGGCCCTCCGTTTCCTCAGTTCCTTACACCTGCAATTGACGGTATTCACACACCGCCTGTTTTATGGCTGAGATGTCTTCCGGCGTCGATCGGCAGCAGGCGCCGCAAATGACAACCTCAAACAACCAATCTGTCGCCTCGGGACGTTGCTGTAGCAGCTGCAGGACAAAACTCGCACACGTTTTCGCGTTTCCAGCCCCGTGTGCCAATCGTTGCTGTAGATCCCGCAGTAAAGGTGTTTCTACCTCTGGAGTTCGTCTCCTCTGTGGTGACTTCCTCCACTGCCCCTCTGCAAACATTTCACCCGAGTTTGGGTACAGCAGGAGCACCAGCGGCGCTTCCGTCTCCTGACGCTTCGTTTGAAGCAAAGCGCTTGCCACCAGGCTTACCTCCAGCGGAGCGGCACAGTTGCACCCCACACCCGCCAACGCCATCCCACGATTCTGCCGCAACGCAGCAAGCGCTCCCACAAACGTGTTGCCGTCCATCAGGCGAACGGCGGAGGTGGCTGCGTCCCACCACTCATCCAACTCGCGGTCACCTGCAGTGCCGGGAGGAGGCAATTCCACAGGCGCCGCTACGAAACTGAAGCACACAGGCACAGCACGCAGGCTTTCGTGCTGGTGCACAAAATCGAGGATCCCAAGTGCCTCATCCAGGCGTGGAAAGGTTTCCAACAGCAAGAAGTCAACCTTGAGGACCCGCTTCTCACCCACTTGACCCAAAAACGCCTCTAAGCGGCGGGCGTGAAAGGTATTGATGACGGCATCGTGCATGGAATAGTCGCCGGAGTACTCTTTTCCACCCGGCAACGAGGAACCATACGGGCCCAGACTTCCCGCCAGCAAAACGACTCTGTCCTGCCCCCCGCCTTGGACGGTGAAGAGCGCAGAGGCAAAAACATCCGTCAAACTCGCCCTGTTTTCGTCTGCCGCAGGTTCCTCTGTCGCATCCTCCTGCCATCGTAGGGGCATGCAGTGACGTGCCGCTTGAACGGCACGATCTACCAGCTCGGACATGGTCACATTTGACGCCGCACACCCCTCCTCGTGCATTTGATAGGTGCATGTCAGCAGCACGTCACAGCCCGCCCCAACGTAGGCCTGATGGACGCGCTCAACCAAACTCTTGTCTGAGAGAAGCACAGAGGAAGACCACATCGTCCCCAGCTTGTCATACTCCACACCCCAGGACTCCAGAAGGGTTCCCATCGCCCCGTCCTTGACGAGGACTCCAGGAAGCTGCCCTGCGCGCATCTCTGCTGCAAGGTTAACGCAATGGCTTTCCCTTCTCTTTTAGTTTTTTGCTGTTTCTCGCCGTCACACGGTGCTGATTTGCGCGCCGACAAACATGACCCTGACGACTGAGGAAGAGACAAACCAGATAATAATAATAATAATAATAATAACACCCCCGCAGCTCATCATCCATCGCCACAGCCACAGGTATAAAGAGACAAAAACCGTGTGGGTCATTTTTGGACCGCCCAAAACGCAACCGAGTAGGGCGCGTAGGGCAAAATAAATGCATTTACTTTAAACCATTACGCGCCCTGCGTCACCCCACACACACCTCCCACTTTATTTACGCATGCTTTTCGCAGAGTTTTTTTTTTCAATTTTCCTGTTATACAGCTTCACCTTTCCGACATCCCTCATCTCTCACTGGCGTTGATGTCGTCTCGCCTTTCCTATCGCAAGTAACCCAAGCCAAGAGCCACCGACAGGAGAGAAGGCAACCCCTCAGACAAAGATCCTTTACTTTTTTTTTTGGTTATTATCCGTTTCGAATCCTCGTCGCCTGTTCATCCTTCACCTCCCTGCCCCCAACCTACTCCTGCCAACTCGCATTCAAGAAGGAGGAGGGGCAGAAGTCCCGGGAATTTATGCGCGCATCTAGTAAATATGAATACGTAGTCCTGCGTCTCCTTCCTCCCATCCGAGGGATCACCGAGAGTTGGCACATGCACATACACGGACTGATTACATATGGCCATGCCATGCATGCCACGAGATCCACTTTTTTAATTCTAACAAAGCGACGGAGAGATATATGTTCACCTTCGCTTCACCTTTTTCTTATAGGTGGCTTTAACACTCATATCTTTCCTCTTTTCTATTTCGTAGTGACATGGTTTGGGCTCAACAGGGTGGCGTGGGGGAATGAGTGGACCAAATGCGGGCACACACGCATAGGTCAACGTTGCCTGCTTTGTGTGGGCGACTGAAGGCGCATGATGCTCCCGGCAGCCAACAACACCGCGTAGACGTCGAGGCGTGCATAGAAAGGGGCACAGCCACGCGTGCTCTCCCTTCCTCTCGCCTTTTTTATTTTCTCTCTATCTCTCACCCTAACTCCCTCTGTTACGTTGATTTGTTCACGTGAGTGCGCGTGTTTTTTTTTCTCTTGCGCGCCACTGCTGATTTGTTCAGTCACTTTGGAGGAATTTTATGGTCTTGTTTCTGCGCCCGTTAGCGCCGGTGCCGATGGCGAGGGGCCACGCGAACGACGCTCTTCTCCGCGTCCCCCGCACCGCCTCCACACGGCCGCCCCTCTCCCTCTCATACAGAGCGACACCCACACACACGCACGGAAAGAGAGGGGGGGGGGGGACGGACGAAGAGACGCGGCGGCGATCACGATGTTTCATCAAAAGTCTCTGCCTCGTTAGTTCTCCCGCTTCCGCAGGATTTCAACCTCGTTTATACGCATTCTTTTTTTTTCCTTCGTGTTTTCAGAGTATGCCTGTGTGTGTGTTTTTTTTTCTTCTGGTTCTGTTTAATTCTCTCGTGTTTATTGCTTTGTTTGTGTGAGATCTCACCCGCATTTTTAGTTTCCTTCTTTTTTTTTATTTCGTGCTGTTTTTCTTCCTTGCAGCTCTTCCGTTTTCGCCCCCGCTACGCGCACGGCGGCGACGGCCTGAGGCGGCGCGAGGCGCACGCCGCCGGCCACGCGTGCTGCTTCCTCGCCGCGGCGGCCATGAACGCGAGGTACGGCGGCGACGGGTCCAGCGGCGAGGAGACGAACTCGGGGTGGAACTGAACGGCGAGGAAGAAGCGGAGGGCGGGCAGCTCAATGGCCTCCACGCGCGTGTGCGGGCCAAGCGCCGGGTCCGACACCGCACTGATCAACACCCCCGCCGCACGCAACTCGTCGAGGCAGGACGTGTTCACCTCGTAGCGGTGCCGGTGGCGCTCCACGACGACGTCGGCGCCGGCGTAGATGGTGGACATGATGGAGTTCTTCTCCACCAGGTGCACCTCGCGGGCCCCGAGGTGCATGTTGGCCCCCATGCTATGGCGATCGCAGTCCATGATGCGCACGATCTGGTGGGTGCTCTCGCTGTCAAACTCCTCGCTGTTTGCGTCCTTCCAGCCAATCACGTCACGGCAGATTTCAATAAGGGCGACCTGCATGCCCAGGCAAACCCCAAAGTAGGGGATGTTGTGGCGCCGCGCCAGCTCCACCGCCACGCACTTGCCATCCACCCCACGTTTACCGAAGCCACCTGGCACAAAAATGCCGTCGCACTCGAGAATGGCCTCCTTGGCCTCCTCCGCATTGGGGCCCTCCAACATTTCCGACTCCATGTACAGGATGTCAAGCCGAACACGCAGGGCAATCTGACAGTGCTCCAGGCACTGAAGAACGGAGAAGTACGCATCCCCGCCGCCTGTGACGTATTTTCCCACAAAGGCGATGCGCACGACCGGGTTTGAAATGTCACGCAGGATCCTGGTGTACTCCACGTATGTTTCATAGTTCGGCACTTCCGCCGCTGGGACCCTCGGCTGCAGCCGTAGCTTGTGCATCAGCCGCTCAACCAGGCCATCCTTGGTGAACTCCACAGGAATTTCATACAAGCAATCCACATTTGGCGCCCCAATAATGTCGGAAATTTTAACACCACACTGATTACTTAGCTTCTCCTTCACCTCCTGTGTAAGGCGTTCCTCACTACGGCATATCAGAAAGTCCGGCTGAAGGCCAAGGGACAGGAGAGCACGAGAGCTGTGCTGCGTTGGTTTCGTCTTCTGCGCCCCACCAAAAACAGGAAGGTACGTCGTGTGCATGAGGCAAAAGTCTTGTGGCGGAATGGAGTAGCGAAGACGGCGCAAGGCTTCCACAAAAGGCTGTGACTCCATATCCCCTACTGTGCCGCCAAGCTCAATCATGCAGATCTCCGGCCCTTTGCCGCTCTCACACACCGACTCCTGACAGACGCGGAAGATGTGGTCCACCACCTCGTTCGTGAAGTGCGGCACCAACTGCACCGTCTTCCCCAAAAAGCCCCCGGCACGCTCCTTCTCAGTCAGCTTGCGGAACACCTTACCGGTGGTGATGTTGTGATTCGACTTGAGCGACACCGCCATCCAACGCTCGTAGTTGCCCAGGTCGAGGTCTACCTCGCCTCCGTCGGCGAGAACGTACACCTCGCCGTGCTCGAACGGGCTCATCAGGCCGGCATCCATGTTAATGTAGGGGTCAATCTTGATGCTGCACACGCGGTACCCCTGTGCGCGCAGCAAGGCGCCCGTCGCCGACGTCGTCACCCCCTTCCCAAGCGAGCTACAGACACCGCCTGTTACAACGACAAACTTAATGTTGTCGTTGGAGTCCACGGGGCGGGTCATGGGAGAGGGCAGGTAGTACGACGAGCCCGTAAACATCGATCTCGCGGACATTGCAGTAACAGACAAAAAATACACGTTCTGCGGTGTACAAGCGTCGCTGTATCCTCAAATTCACTGGGACAGAACAATAGGAAGAGGACGGCGCACGCACAACAACACGGTGTACGTTAACACAAGAGTATGTAAACAAATAAATGAAACGCGAAAAAAGTTCCATATATTCGTAGCGACACAACAAGCAGATAAGAAAAGATCACACTCAATAAGGGCCAGAGACACTCACTCTCTCTCTTTCTCTCCCCACACACACACACGCCGCACCTCACTCCCATCACCGGACAAAAAAAACGCCACGGCACCGAGTGCGGCGTGGCTGAGCGGTGGCTCTTGGGCGCCTTAACTGGGACGGTCCCGCGCGAGGCAAGGCGAGGCATCCCACTCAACGGGCCCTTGCGGGGCAGAGCCAAGCGGCAAGGGAGGGGAAAAGAGAAGGGGGCAGGGAGGCGCACCTCATGGGGATGTTCTGCTGCATCAGTTCGAGTGCACGCTGCACACGTCGGTGGAGGACAAGTACATCCGGTGTCTAATCACTGCGCGGCTGCAGGGCCCGCTCGCACAGCGGCAGGCGAAGAAAGGCGTGACGAGGCGACTACACCTGGACGGGGGGGCGGGAAGAAGGGGCGGCTGGCAGCACAGAGGACAGGCGG